GAGATATCCAAAAAGATTTCATTTCTGAAGTTCTATGCAGAGAGTTAGTAATTAACTTCTCTCATATTTGTAATAATTCCTTTAACATTTTTTAGTTTAATGTATTTGTTTTCATATCATTTATTAAATTTATTATCTATATAAGGAGTCTTGAAATAATATCTCATTACTAAAGAAGAATCAATTTTATTTGAAATCTCCAAACCTACTTAATAGAACTCTGCATCCTTTTGGTCGAAGTTAGAAAACAAAAAAATACAATCTTATGTAAATATGAAAGTCCAATCCATTAGATAGATATAGCAGTTATTTGTATACAGCTATTAAAATTGCAATAAAACCATTGGGAGATTGAATTTTAATTTTTAAGTCTAAATAATTCCAGATCTAAATATTATCAAGAGGAAAGAACTTTTACAATTATTTTGAATAATTTAGCCTTTCCCTTCTAATCTAAATATGTGGAGTGTTATACGAGTGTGATCAATGAAATAATAGATTGTTTTAATAGTGTAAAAAGAAATCATCAACCGTTAAATGTAAGTAAAATTTCAAATTAAATATCATTGCTGATTAGTTTTCGACACCAAATTTAGAGCACTTTGCATAAATTATAAATTAGATAGTATAAATCATCAAAAAAAAGAAAAATTAAATAATATCAATCAAATAGTATTCAATAATTTATCATAGCTCACAGTAAAGATTTCTTAATTTATCAAAAGAAAATTTAAGTGTAAAAAGATTTTATCCCAGTATATTCAATCTTAAAATTTAAAGATTCTTAGGTATTCCAAACTCAGTAACTTTCTATTCTTTACGATTTAATAGAGTCATATGATTAGATAAAAATAAAGTGTTCCTAAAAATTTGGATTGAAAGAAAATTAAAGGAGATAAACGAAAACTTTATTATGGCTCTACACCTCTATTGATTTCTAAGTTTTCCAATAAATTTTAATTGAAATGTGAATTTGAATGCATCATAAATTGCAGCCCATAAATAATTTTCAGGATTAAAAGTTATCTTTAAACAATTTCGATTGCTAAATAAAAAACAATGCATTTTTGTGAGATCATCTTATGAATGTAAAAATGTTAAAGTTCAAAAGTGAATTAGAATTAAATTTTAATTTACTATACTATAGTTAGCGTAGAAAATAATCAATAAATTGATA